CCAAATTTATCGCCACCTTGAATCCGCCACTGATTACTGACTTATTTATGAATGGATTGATTAATTGATTGGTTACTAAATCAATGAAAAGATGAATTTCTTTGGATTATATTTTAGTAGTCACAGAAGCACAAGTATGAATGCTTCCACTTTGCGATATGGTTTCCATATCCTATCTGGCCGTTTGAAGCACAATTTGGCTCATACAGTTTTGGCAAAGAATGGTCGAGTGAGAAAAATGTAAGTACTTAATCTGTACACTTAGTATTCAAGCATTGTGCAACACTGATTAGCCCTGCAGATGTGTTAAAAAATATACCAATATTAGACAACTAATAAGACAGTACACTCTGGACTATTTTATGACATTTATTTTGATAACTTTCGCCAGCAGTAACTAGGCTACTAGTTTCACCAAGTGGTCCCACTGAGCAATAGCAGATACTTACCCATAGACTAGGAGAGTACTATATATTACAACTGAAATCCGATTAATTTTTTAAATAATTTCATTGGAAGGTGCTCAATATCAAGCCTACAAACGGACGCAATGAAGAAGTTTAACATCGATTACGCAAGTATTTCAAATGTTGCTGAAACTTCAGATCCCCTTACATTTAAGAAAAACATTGAAAATTACATAGGCACTGTAAAATTGCCAGTTGGTGTTGTCAAGGTGCTTGTAAATGGTCGACATGCCAAAGGAGTTTACACTGTTCCGATGGCAACAACAGAGGCAGTGCTGGTGGCGTCTTATAGTAGAGGAGCTAAGGTCATTTCCGAGGCTGGAGGAGCTGAAGTCATTGCCGTACACCAAGTAATACCTCGGGCACCAGTTTTTGAACTTGAATCTGTTGAAAAGGCACTTGAACTAAAAGAATGGCTTGAAACTAACAGTGTATTTACAACTTTAAAGGAAATTGCTGAAAGTACAACTAACCACGGAAAACTGGTGAAGGTAAAGGCCCGGCTCCATGGACCATTCGTATACACTCAATTCTTTTTTACAACCGGCGATGCATGCGGTCAAAACATGACGACAATAGCGACCGATGCAATATGTAAACACATCATTGACATCTGTCCTTGTAAAATTGTGAATTGGCTTGTAGAGGGTTCTCTTTCTAAAGATAAGCGAGCATGTCACGACAGTTTGAATGGCGATCGTGGAGTTTACGTTACCGGATCGGTCGTCCTTCCGAAAGAACTAGTTAGTGATCGTCTCCATACAACAGGTTAGTTTATATTATGCTCATAGATTAATTCAGTATTCGTTTTCATTAAATTACTAGACACAACAATGCCAAAATTATTTATTTTTGTTGACAATCAGTACATATTACAGTATTACTGCAACAAGAAAAACACAGATCAAAACACGAAAAACATTTAACACGGAAAGATGTAGGCCTGCCGACGTATATGCAAAGAATTAGCAGTCACATATTCTCAGATTTTTTATTGCACGCACATTGAAACTAACGGCGGTGTTGAACAGAGAGAAAGCATTTATTGCCAATACAAATTGCTTAAACAAGACAAACGGCGCCGTACAGCAAACATACAAGACTGAAGAAACATTGCATTACTTGTTTTAATTATTAAATTTACAATTAAATATTTATTATAATTTCTGCTGTGATAACAGAGCCTATAATATTATAGGCCTAGGCCTATATAATACAATATAATTCAAAACATTAATGGAACTGTGTTTGGAAAAAATTAGGTGATTCGCTAGACTAATGAAAAATAACAGAAGAGGAATGAGGCAAAAAACAAAACAAAACAAAACAAAACAATTACAAAAACAAATCATAGTGACCCGATATTGAAGCCCGTCATTTCCTATAGAGAAAAGAATGCGAGAGCTTTTCTAGTTACAGAAGTACGTATTGTTAATACAGGTTCACAAAAATCACAAATACAATGACATGTTCATGTTTATTTTCTATAAGATTAACTATGTTACAGAATTCATAACTGCAAAGTAAACATTTACAAAATAATGATCACATTTAAACTGTTTTTCTCCAAATAATTTCAGTTGATCGCATAATGGATCTGAACTACCACGTGACAAGTGGTAACGCTATGTTAGGAAGCGTCGGTACGTAAGTTTAATTATACTTTCAAATCAATATATGTTAACCTAACCAGGGATCGTACGATGATTATTTCTCATTATATTGAATTTAGCATGTGAATGTGTACCTATTTAAAACCAAAGAAAACGGTTTTATTTAAAAAAATAAATAAATGAAAAATGGTCTTTTTTGATACCTTATCACTTATTGTGTTAGATTAGAATAGAGAGTTCCTAATTCAAATAAAACATTTATTTTATTGTATGTATACCAATGAACATTGAAACAATACATCATGATGGAAAATATTCTATGGAAGGGAATAAACTGTAGAAATGCCTTGCGAACACAAATAGATATGTAAAACAGTACTTATAAGATTATAACGTTAACATTGTCCACTGCGATTATCTGTCCCGGAATTATATTAATATAGATATTATATTTGTTTATTTTGACAGGCATTCCATATCAACACGCAAACGCATTAGCGGCAATTTTTATCGCTTGTGGCCAAGACCCAGCCTGTATCGTCGAATCTCAAGCGGCTATAACAAACTACAGGAAAACTGAGACTGGAGACATCCAACTAATTTCGACACTGCCTGCATTAATGGTGGGAACAGTTGGCGGCGGAACCACTCTACCAAGCCAGAAAGTAAATTTAGCTATAAAAAAAAAATAACAATAATAAATTAAAATAAATTAATTCCAGTTAAAATACTGAATTGCTTAAAATGATACAAATGCAGTATTTATAATTATCTGTATGAACATTTACCACCCTTAGGATTGTCTCAACCTTGTTGGAACTAGTGGTTCGGGTAAATTGATGGAATTCGCTGAAGTTGTTATAGCTACGTCCATGGCAGGTGACCTATCAATCAGTGCTGCAATATCATGCCACCATTTTGCCAAGGCGCATCACAAGTTTGCAAGATAACGTTTCACCAACAGGGCTCTGAAGATTAAACGATGCGTTCGCAAACCGAACGTATCGATATTTCATCTCGTTTTATTCTGCGTCAGCAATCCCCATATACGCAATTTACTTTTTCAAAGCATTATTCGTGGAAGAAATTAAAAAGAAAAATACTTCTGATAATGTTCAGGAAATATGAAATAAAACAAATGAGTTTTAGTAAGTTTTGATTTCAACTTCCTCTGTGCTTCACATTCCGATTATGTTTAGCACAAAAAAATAAATTTCATAACTTACCTTTAAATATGCGACAGCAAATTATTTGATGCGAATAGAATAAATATAATACTAGTCTTATGTACCGTTAAGGTGCCTTCTGAAAACTGTACGATTACAATGAGTTGGTGATTTCTTTTCCAAGTTGAACCAGAAGTCTGCTGCTGTTGGTTAACTTGTGCAACGTAGATTCAAATGATTAATCAGTGTTACTCTTGTATTCACAGTATATTGGGAGAAAAGTACGCGTTCGATCGGGTACGTCTCCAGTGTAGGTCGAATTGGTCATTCAATATGCGTTAGGTAATCAGCTGCTGACCAACCACATTGTCAACCAACTCATACTGGTCACACAGTCGGAAACAAAAATGATACCTGATCAGTTTGTTTTGTCCATAAAAAATATTGGATTAATAACAGACCGTGTTCAATATGTTTGATGATAATAACACCAATAATGTCACAGAGCGATCCAAATTTAGTAATTGCTTCAGATGTTCTTACTCCATATTCTATTGTTTACGTGCAATTGGATCAGTATAACAAGACCAACGGCATACGTTGTATTTAAAGACAATATTAAAACCGGTACTTCGCGCTTGAGTTCATTAAAAGGCACGATGTCCATTGCCGCATGTTATCTAATACTTAAATTGATTAAATTGTATAGATCTACGTCTAACTCAGTCTATTTACTTTGCTGTCTATTCACTCTAAATTCGCTATCTTAAAGAATTCTAGTAAATAGAAAATTTACTATTGATAAATATTTAAAAATAAGTGAATGATGAAAAGCTCAGGAAATAAAAAAAATGTTTCATTGTTCTGTTACTGTTGTAGTCATTTAAATTGTTTTGTGTTTATCATTCAGAGTTCCGCGCACCTTGGAAAATCTTTTATGACCAGTTTTCTCAACAAACATATAAAGAATGGTGCATATTCAGTTATTATTTATCGGTGAAATCTCATTTTAGGTTGCACATTAATACTGCTGTAACTTTACTTTGTCTTGAGTCAAGTGTGTTACTATTCTCAATTTTAAGCCCATGTTAGTAACCAATCATGGTTCTTGGTCGATTCCTTCAACTTTTCTTTGAAAGATTAGTAGATTCTATAGACTCAGGGTCACACCTCTTGCTACATTTTCAAAGTTTTTTTTTTTCTTTGAGGTATTATGCTGAATATACTTCCATGAGTTTTGCTACAATCCTATTTAAAACAGTTATACTACAATTCACAAGATAGGACCACCACATTTCAAAGTAGCTAAAGACCGTTTGTCACTATTTTGATAGTCCATCTTCTTCTTCCGTTCAGTTACATCTTGTTGAAGACTGTACAACTACTGTCTGTGATTGGGACCAACGCACAGTGGGCCAGAATTATTTCAAAGTGTGTCATCAAATTACTGTTTTTTGATTGGATGAGTAAAATATTCATTGTAATACCTAGGCAGATTCATATTACCTTGGTTATTAGAAAATATAAAGGGTTTTCTAACCTGTAGATTTCGACGCAAGCATATTTAAATATGTATGACGTCATTAAATTATTTTTTTTTTATTGGACGACGTAAAATTTAAGATCTAGACAGAATAACTTGCCAGAGCCCAGTATGACACGAATGAGGGTTTCTAGACCGGCAAATTCAAATTAGAACATTTTACACTTTATGTGACATTATTAAAATAGATTTCTTCAAAGAAAAGGGTGGAAGGTGGAGTGTTGAGAAGACACCTGCAGTACCCCCTTAGTCCGCGTCCACCCCATCAGTCAGCCCTCACTAGTGAAAGTAAGCACAAAAGATCACGGTCAAACAGACTGAATTTACCTAATATCGCTATAATTTGCGTGAGCAATAATTGTTGTATTTGAATGGATGCTAAATATATAAATGAAAAAAAAGAAATTAAATGAGCGATCCCACTTCATCGGGCATATACCCCCATCCCATCACTCACATTGGGATGCCCTTATCATCTCCAGAGGCAATTTGGCTTCAGATTTAGGATGGAGTCAAAATGTTTAAAAAAAATAAATAAAAAATAAAAACAAAAGAGAAAGTGTCGGAAAAAAATGATTCCTAGAATAGCTGACCTCAAAATAAAAGGGGTCGAGGTCCTCCCCGGAAAAATGTTGTTTCCTAAATGGCGAGAAATGAGATTTCCCGACTTTTGAGGTGTATTTTAATGACATTTAAGTTTTTTAAAGTTCAAAATTTTCCCTCCCTTGAAAACAGTCATGTCAACTTTGTTATTCTTATTACAGTAAACAGGCCTATGTGTGTATTAAAAAATGAGTAGTTGCATACGTAGGCGTATTTTGTTTTCCATGAACCGATGAACCCCAAATAGGACGGTGGTGGGAAAATGTTGATTCCTATATGTCTGGAAACGGGTTTTCTCAACTTTTGGTTTCCCTCTCTTGACGTATTTTAATGAATCGATGAACCCTAAAGAGGAACCGGGGGAGAGGCGGAATCATGTGAGCCCTGGAAAATTTTGATTCCTAGATTGCGGGAAGTGAGCTTTTCAGACTTCTGAAGTATCTTTTAATGACCTTTAATAAAAACAAAATCAAGGTTTACCCTATTGAAAACGGTCAGGTAAATTTTCTGTAGATGTGTATAAGAGGTGTGTAGAGGTATAAATATGATTAATTGCTTACGCATTCTTTGGTTTTTTTTTCTTTTTTTTTTTTTTTTTTTTTTTTTGAAACGGGGTCCTCCCCCATCAAAATTTTTAATTTTATTTATTTATTCTTTTTCATTTATTTTATTAAATAGTTAGTAGATATTTTTTGCATTATCTAAATCATGTTTTACTTTGAATATCAATGCACCAGCAAACAACCCAAGGGTAATATTTGGCTTTAGCAAAATAAAAAAAAATAAAAAAAAAAGCCTCCCTCCCTCCCTCATCACTTTTCCTGCCCAGATAGGGTGATAAAATAATCATATTTTTTATAGGGCCTAATAATAACAAAGCCCGACACTCACTGACCCCGACGGTCGTCGGCCGATGGCCCATGACGAACGCAACGCACCGACGTTTTTTTGTAATGACAATACGTTCAGACCGCCACCGACAATCAGCAGACGACGTCGCGTCGTCTGGCACTCACATGAGTGGAGCCGAAGTCCTCGTACGACCGTCGTACGTCGCTAAGGGGGGGGGGGGTATATTAAATCGCTTGCTAAATGCAGGGTGGCAGATATTGGCAGATAAACTTGGCATTAACGTAAAGCTTGGGCTCTGCCAGAAATGTTGATGTCAAAAGCATGACGAAAATCGCCAGCAATTCTAAATTTTAAGTTGGTTTTATGAAAAAATGTTTTAAAGCGTTTTTGGCTCATATTTAGTGTCCTTTATTCTAAAAATATACCAATAATATCTTTTTTTATTTTACTATCTAATTTAGTTAACAATAGGTAAATACAACAAGAAGTATCAAGTTGACTGTTTCATCTAAGTAAAGTCATAGGGAGTTTTTCAAAACTGTCAATTTTATCATTTTACGAGTAAAATACAACTTTTTCATGTTTACATGGTTATATCACACTATGAAAATTCACTAAATATGAAATTATTGGTGGATTAATATAATTTAGGATGTTCTCGACCTTTAAACAACCTTTAAAAGTTGAAGTTGTCACATTACCTATTTTCGACTTTTGGCACACTTTGAATTGATTCTGGCCCACTGTGCAACGGCTTAGACGTCTCAATCGAAAAAGGGAGCGCTATTAAAACTTGTTTCCCATATGAGTTTATTCAATTCACAATAATACATACATATTAATTAACAAATGTAAACACTTCAGCATAAATCGTAGGATTACTCAAACATAGGCAAACGCAAAGAGGTATTATAAGATTACATTAAAAAAGAGATTTCAAACAAAAGCATCATTGTTAATGCAATTAAAAATTTAAATCTTTTCCTAATTTCCATTCCTACCTACAACAATCCGAAAGCAATCCACCCCGCCAGCAACACCCCGCCTCCACAACCGGCGCATCAGCCGACGAATCCAAACCTTAGTCTCTATGACCAGTCAATCGTAAGGACGCCTTCTACAAATGATTTCATGGTACGACATAGCCAGACGGAACTCGACCAGAGAAAGCCCCAGTGTGGAAGAGAAGCCCCAGCAACAAAGCAAACCGAATCCGGATCTCGCCAAGAAGGAAACACTGTTATGATTATAAATACTGTAGGTCATTATTAATATCTATAGTAATTAAAATCATAACAAGAAACCTAAATAATTATATATTTTTTTAATGAACTTTACACATACACACAGAAGAAGAAAATGCATTTCAGCCCTCCAGCTGACACATAATAAGAGCAGCGATGCGAATTTATATTTATTGATTTATTTATACATGATAACACATCAGAAGGGTTTAACAACCTGTTTTACATATCGTCCTGTTTTGCGATACAAAACTGCAATTATGTAAAATATTTATATACCGGGGACCACGAGATACGGTTCAGCGGCACACAGTGGCTACTAGCAGTTTAATCGCCTGAGCTAAGCTGCTCTCTCTCATGCTCGCAGCCATGTGGCAGTTGGGAAGATCAATACATTTAGAAGGGGTACTTTAGTGCAGGGCTGATTAGTTTTGAGAGATCTTTGTAGATCAGTAAATTTTCTCCTTGTTGGGTAACTTTTTTTATTTCTTTGTAGCCTTGGAGTTATTTCTGTTAGGCCTTATTGAAAAAGCGAGTTTCAACATCTGATGTCTGTTCTTTCATTTTTGCGGAGAAAGACCACCTTTTTCACTTTGTCCTTTGGATATAGGCCTACTAAATGATTTCTTATATTTGTTCTGTGGGATGAATGAGTTAACATTATATGTGCAGAGGACTCTCCTGAATCTTTCTGATAGCTCAGGTACATTCGGGATCCTCAAACTTCCCTTCTCCGTTTCTTATGGGTTTTTTTCTCACCTGTTTTTCTGTCTTCTTCAGTATCTTGTTAATAATCGACCAGTTGGAGTAATTAGATAGGCCTATGTTAAGAACTAATCTCATTTGATTCCGAAATGATATTGAATTGTTTGACATTCTGTCGTGAATTCCATATTTTTTGTTGGATCAATGGTGTTGAGGTGTTGATGATAATGCACATTTTCACTATTGACATACAAGAAAAAACGAAGACACCATCTACCCAAGCCAATTAGCTATATATTATCCAATCACAGCCTCTTTGATTCGTTTATCCAATGACAGCCTACCCAAGAATAATCTGAAAACTCAACCAGCTTTAAAATGCCATCATTACAGCTCCTTACAGCTAGGTGGCGGATACAGGAATTCCAAATAAAGGGGCCCAGTGAGAGGGACGTTTGGTGGAGGGGTCTGTGCCACCTCATCTCCACCATGGTTGGAGCTAAGGTACAAAACTTAGTGCACTATGACACCTTTAGCACTCTTAGACTTACATTTTATTAATAGTTTTCTTTCTCATTTTCCCCTTCAATTTTCAATAATTTAGGGTGCTCGGATGGGCTGGGCTCCCTTGAATCTGCGCACTTCAGCTCTTAATCATTCTTGCCCTCCCAAAAAAAAAAAAAAAACGGAACAGAGTAGGCCTACTACCAATCGAATTCTTGGGACATCATAATCCAAACGGTTCCTCTCAAATCAAACACCTGGTTCATCAATTTAGATTTGCAGCATGGTGTACCGAATGCAAATACAAATGTAATAATAAAAGTATTGGACTTATGAAGGATCATGAAGCCGTACAGTTCTCACTGCCATCAGATAGATAAAACTACACCAATATTGATACTAATGATACTAACCCGTACTTTATTTATTAACACGTTCAAAGCACTAAAACAGCCAATGTTTACAATGTGAAAGGGTCGGGACGTCCACTTTCTAGATCATGCACTAAAATACCTTTTATATTCGATATGTCCAGCAACTAACTAATTGATTGCATCGCAACGGAAGCCATCAGATAGATAAAACTACACCCATATTGATACTAATGACCCGTACTTTATTTATTAATACATTTAAAGCACTAAAACAGCCAATGTTTACAATGTGAAAGGGTCAGGACGTCAACTTTCTAGATCATGCACTAAAATACATATTTTATATTCGATATGCCCAGCAACTAACTGATTGCATCGCAACGGAAGTGAGGATCGGCACGGTCGAATGTGCGGCTATTGTTAATGGTATCTATTAATATACTTAAAAACCTCTCTTTCATTATTCACGATTCAAGTGTTTGCACATTAACAAAAGCAGTCAGACACGCACTAGACGAATGTTTCAGTTGATGTATTATATACAGACTGATTAATGTAGTCTGAGTATGTTTACAAGTAGGCCTATAATGTATTACAAAATGGTAGCTTCTACAGAGGGCGATATTTATAAAAATGAAATTTTTTTAATGTTTGCATTATTTTCAGTACAACTTTGCAATAAATTAAAAGAATTATAATAATAACAATACTGATAATAGGTCGATTTATAAAGCGTAAAGGAAAACTTAAAGAAAAGCAGAAAAAAATAATAATCAGGAGATTTGGGGGGGGGGGGGGAGAGAAAAAGAACAGACTATCCAAACATAAACCAAAAGCGGAAAATAACAAATACAGACTTGTGCAGGGACCCAAAACCATTGCACCGTTTTCATGCAATTTGGGAACAATAAAGAGCACAACATCATTACTCACAGGCGATATTATAATGTATAGTTAGTTAGTTCTTGATTGTCTCTTAAATGTTAACAATATCAAGAAAGTAGAAATAGAAAATAAACACTTTTTGCAATGTTATGAAACAGAAAAATAAGGCCAGAACAAATCTGTACCGGATCACCAGCCAACAAGCTGATGTGAATACCAAGAAACCCCCACCACCCCTCCCCCCCCCCACACACAAAAAGATTATTTTAAATACTTAAAAGTATTAAACAAAATCATAGTGGCGCTGGGGTGGTCTAGACCCTTCGTCTGTGTAAGTGCTCCTCTAGGCCCCATCTACTTCGAATTCCTCGATCCGCCACTGTCTACTCTATGCAAATGAATATGGGAACGTATATCTCCGTATATTTTACGAGTTTTTTTTATCATTCTAATCTTCAATTGCATCCAAGTTAAATCAATAAATAGAAGAGCACAGTCCAGTTTAAAAATAAGTCACTCCCCTTGATACTAAAAATAGTATCTATCATTCTCGACTAAGGAACTGTATCGTAATGAAAATAGATGAACAAACAAACCGTGCTAGGTTCTGGTTATACTGCAACGTATATCTCCGTATATTTTACGACTTTTTTTTATCATTCTAAAGCTTCAATTGCATTCAAGTTAAATCAATAAATAGACGAGCACAGTCCAGTTTAAATATAAGTCACTCCCCTTGATACTAAAAATAGTATCTATCATTCTCGACTAAGGAACTGTATCGTAATGAAAATAGACGAACAAACAAACCGTGCTAGGTTCTGGGTCCACTGGAACAAACAAACCGTGCTAGGTTCTGGTTCTACTTGTTAAATAAAGACAATCAGACGTGTTTAAGCATTACTTTTTTTTATTTCATACACCAAGTATTCAACTTAAATATTAGAATATATTTTGTCTAGTTTAGTATTAAAGTAAATCTTTAATGCGTTTGCGTAATTGAGGAGAAAATATTAATATTTTCCTAAATTTTACACATAAACATGCAAATAACTCAAATTAAAAAGAGAACAATTCAAGTATTGTATTCACTACTGTATATGACCAATAACAGCTTGAGTTACTGGTAAATTGAGCGGAAACGTTGGTTCCTCTGCTTTTCTGGTTAATGTACAGCTCCAGTCGGCAACCCATGGGTTGCGTCCTAAGTTTGTGTCGTGAATAAGTTTTAAGGTCGGCAGATCCCATGTAGATCTTAAAAATCAGAAGATTCCCGTTAAAACATGGAAACAAAACATTTCTTTAAAATAAAATAATTTGATAAAATGTGGGCTACTGTCTTCAATTTGTGTTAATGTTTGGCTGTTGTCATCCGATTTACGAATTGATGAGCTTGATAAAATCGTTGTGCATGCGCCGGCAGTGTGTACTATCTTAGCTTAGTCATCGAGCCGTTCTTACCGCTTCAAGCAATACATCAAAAGTGGTTTCATAATGTTTATATTTCAAAAAACCGTACACATAAATATTTGCATTGGTTATATTAATAGTTTTAGAAATTTTACAGTGTTGTCACTCGTTCACATCCTCGGCTCCGTATTTTGTTTACTCTTGAGGCAACTTCTGCTTTAGCGCCTGCTAAATTAGAGGTCCGTATGAAATCACAAACTTGACAAAAGTGCTAGCAACCGATGTCAAATTAACTCGGTCATATCATTACAATGGAAATCAACATAGGAGAATAGATTCAAATGCTGCTTTAGGCAAATTACTTTCTTGAATAAGTACGATTATACTGTTGTTAGGAGACACTACCAACTGATCTCCCTTGAATCCACAACACCATTGTTTGTTAGTGTTGAAACATTGCTAGACAAATAATTTACAAGAAATATTCTAACTTTTTTTGTAAAAAATTCTGAATGCAATAGTGACCTAAGCACGATTTTTCAGAATCTGTAGTGACACAGGTTTCCTTCGCACATTTCACTCACAAAACAAATAAGAGTGGAGAAACGACAAACATGTTATCAAGCCTGACGTTCAAAACCTTTGTAAATGCAGTATTAGTTTATTCACTTTATTTGAACATCTTTATGGAACTATCCATCAAGTTAATGCGTTATTGTTTGTCACCATTTTTATTTTTTTTTACAATTGAAGATTGTGCGCGAGTTGAATAGCTTGATGCTTAAGATAATTGCCTTCCAATCACACAACCCTAAATTCAATTCATGTAATGGTAACAGGATATTCAACAACACTCTCTAAACCTCATAATGAAACGTATATAGAGAATTTTGTATGAATGCTTTTCTTGTAAACGTAATAATTATGATGATATAATTGTCACTTAGTAAACCACTTAGAAAAGTGAAAATTTAACTGTTTGGCATATTCTTATCCATTGTGTCTAAAGTTAAATAAAAAATTCATCTAATGTTATAACAACAGTTAAAATCATATTAATAAAAAAAATTAAATAACAATAATAATACCATTTTTAAAAATTAAAAAAACGCCACCTATGTTTTAAAAATCAATGGAGAAAATAATCAGCTGGGAGCTAATGTTAAAAATTTGTTGGGATAAAATCTCAGTCCTTCAACTGTTTCATCACGACAAGCCTTACTAGAGTCTTCAGCTGCAAGTAACCTAGAAAAGACAAAAGTTACGAAAAATATTAGAAAAAATATATTTCCTTTGTTTGTAATGATATAGGTATCATTGGGTGCTAAAAATCTGGTAATCTTTCTGAATATCTGTTTTTGCTTATTAGGTTCCCTAATAATGTCAGAGGCTGGTTCTGGGGGAGGCCTGTTGGCATTGACTTTCACATATCTTTAATTTTAAAATATATGATAAAAAGAAAAACAATAAAGTCTGAAAGTGCCATTTTTAGCCATCTAGAGGTGTCATTGCCAAAAGAAAATGACTTCAACTGTCTTCTGATGTACAGTAACTTCAGCTGCAAGAAAAACTGATTCTATACAAGGGTGGATCGGGGGGGGAGGAGGGAGGAGAGCAGGCAGGCCCCGGACTAAAAATTTGGAAAGTAAAAAAAAAAAAAAATCAAAATAAAGGAAAAAAAAATGATCGCCGAAAATGAGTCAGAGGTTATTTTTGGGCGTCGGTAACAACAATTTTTCAGGGGCATGTCCCATTGGGTGGTGTTATCTCAATTATCCCAATTTCTGACATCTGGATCCGCCCCTGCTGTAGCATGACATGCTCTGAAGGAGGGACTTCACAGTGGAGTATCTATTAGCTGTATCACACAGCCTCAGTTGAAGTTTGCGCCCCAAACAATTAAAAAATACACAATCAAGTACAGAAAAATCACCTATCACCTCATTCCTCCAGTTGTTACCACAGCCATCAGCTCACCTGCCCCAACTAAATGTCAATACTCATAGATAACTAGCTAATGGAACTACACTGTACTGTACTGTAGAATATCTCACCTGGACTTCGCTAGTGATATGGATATGCCGATAAGCTTTGATAATTCATCAGCAGAGAGAGATTCATGCTGCTCCAGCTAATGAGAACAGAAAATGATCCGTATTATAATTTGTATCTAAATCACCATCATTGTAATCACTTAATCATAGTAACTAAAAATTGCAGTAGCATTTTAAAAACTATATCTTCTCATGAAGACTCCTCAAGCAACTCAATTACTAAATAATACAACAACTAAATAAATTTTAAATATTTTTTCGAGGGGCCTATAAGCATCGTTTTGCTTGGCCTCTATACCCATGAGGATTAGATTACACAAGAATCTCTTGGGAAACAAGTAAACAAGTAAACATTGAGACTATTGTTTATTGTATTAAAATGATTATAATCACTGTTTTATTTAATTAACGTAATCAATAAACGAATGAAATCATAGTAATCAATGTTATCAATATAATTATTGTAATGTTTGTAATTATTGTTTAAGTTAGTGTAATCAGCATAATCACTGTAATAATAATAGAATCAATATAATCATATTTAATCATTTTAATCATTGTTATTGTATAATGACTAAAATGATTGTGATTATTGTATATATTGTAATAATTTTAATCAATGCAATACATAAGACAACTAGAAAAGCTCCTTTTACATTACACAATAAAAGCAAAGCCTAACTATGGTGTGATTTTTCTCTGGGAATTGATAACAACGACAGTAACAACAATGATAACATGAAGAACAACACAGGTAAAAACAATAGCCTCCCAGAGCTTCGCTCCTTTGGGGAGGCTAATAATTATCCAGAGATCACCAAGATTAGGCAAAAAAAAAATTGTTTGTTTGCCCTTCTTTTTTTTTTAAATGATAAATAGGGGCCAGTAGAAACATTTTTTTTTAAATTTATTTATTATTTCAAGATACTCATCAGATGGAATAAAAATAACCCACTGAGGCCTAGAAAGGCAATATCTTACATCAGACAACTTTAAACTAATTTCTAGGGCATCTGGCAAAAAAAAAAATAAATAAATAATTTACTCACATTTTGTTTAATTTGTAAAGAAAAAAGCTAAAAAAAAAGTTTTTTAAATTTGTTTGTTTTTCCACAATTTTTTCTAGTGAGTTAGGGGATGGTGGAGGAGGGCAAACACACATTTTTTTTTGTTTGGCCCTAGCTTGACAGGGGCCTAATGTCCAATGAAACAGGTGGCCGGGAACAGTTCTCTCTTACAAGGCCCATGGGATCCTGGCCAGTACTACCCCTGTAATACTGTAATACCTGTCTCTTATACACATCTAGATGTGTATAAGAGACAGCCATCATCATGAGTTATTTACAATCATACACTTAAAATGTCAGAATGACACTTCAAGATACTGTATCCCAACACAATTTGTCTGAACTTGGCATAGTCTCCCAGCAGACCTTACAGTAGGAACTTTTTTGTTGTTTTGCTCATGTCTTGTTTTATTAGTTTCAACTCTGTCTCTTATACACATCTTGATGTGTATAAGAGACAGCACTGGACCCTATATTAAACTTTCAAGTTATAAAATTGAATGCTAATGATAATTGCAACAGATTTGGAAATTTTATTCAAATTTGAATATATTTAAACTACCGTCTCTCGAAATTTCTGGTGTTCTTGCTTGCTAATACTGCATTTGTTTGTACCTCAAAATGACCTTGGTTCAATGCAAATATATACCATGGGCGCATTGCTAAGTGGTGAAGACAGATTTTTTTTTATGCGTAAGCTGCGTGTTTGTTAGTATAGAGCCTGTCTCTTATACACATCTAGATGTGTATAAGAGACAGATCTAATACAGATGCTCATTAAAATAAAGAATGATTAAAATAAAGAATGATGGTGTTGATCAGAGCATATTAACAAAAATTATTTGAAAGTGTTCCATTGGCGGGAAACCTGCAATCTCTTGTCAAAGCGAGTTTCATACAACTACACCACAAAGGCCTCATGGTATATCAAACATACACACACCCCCTACTTGTTTATACTTTTATTACCTTAATGGACACTTGAGATAATCAAACTGCTTGCAAGCATCTACCAGGTCATCAGGAGACAATAACTGCAACAAAAGAAGATAGAAAACAAACATGATGGAAAACTCCTTGAGTAATCATTTTATTTACATACAATTCAATAATCTAATTGTTTATAAAAAGCTGATAGAGGGCAGTATATGACACCTTGGAGTGGAGTTGAATAGCTTAGTGGTTAAGATGATTGTCTTCTAATTCCAGGGTCATGTGTTCAATTCTTGTCACTACAGGACTTTTTCACACGACTAAAAATAACTGCATTCCCTAAGCCTCATTTAGAGTCTTCGCTGATAAAAGCATCATGTTATTTCATAATTTTAAGAGGGCCCTTGAATATCAGCTGACCTTCTATGATTTGCTGGATGGGTAATTCTCTATTAAATATCCTTAAAAAACAACACCTAGTAAGGGCTAGCATCATACTTGTTTCCTGAAGAGCAACTGCTGGACAATAAAAAAATTGCAAGTATGTTCACTAAATTAATATGATATAAGTTGTAGTGATTTACATTTTTTGTTAATGCCATAACATTCCCCCTTTCTGTACCCCTTACCCAATTACCGCACATACTCATATAAGGTGACCGTTGTAAAAGACGATCTCAGAGTTTGAGATGATTTTTGTATGACAGGCGGCGTATAAGACGCCTCCCTGTTTCATCATCAGAATTCCTAATTTTTTTCTGCTTTTATTGTCTTGATACTACATCTAGCTGGCTAAAAACTTTAAAAAACAATATTATTTTATGAATTTTTAAATGTTAATAACAATCTTATTTTCCATATTTAAAATTGCATTCATTCATACTAACATTTAGTAGCTTCATTGCAGTAGTAAATTCGTATGATACAGACGATCCGCACACAAGACGAATATGATTTACGAAAATTTGCTATTTTGCGCGTATAAAGGCCAACTCAGACAGCGTCGGCCGACACAGCCCGACCCGATTTATCGTCGGGGACAGTCTTAAGCCGTCGTGAGAAATATTAAACATGTTTAATATTCTAGTCTGAGTTGGCCTTAAGACAACCCCGTTTTTCGATCGTAATTTGCTATTTTAAGCCTTGTCTTATACGCGAGTATTATACCATTTTCTATCTATCTTGATTTTATATCTTGCCTGTGTGAAGTCGAATAAATAAAAAATAAATACTGTAAATAAATTATCCTTTTTCCTGCCTTTAGTGATTCCTCATATCAAATGGTACAATCTCTACCTGGCTCTGAGAATTGACTGAGGAAAAACATTCCGCTCAAATAGTTAAGGAGTCACTTTATAACACCTAATTTTGCAAGCTAACTCCCCCTTCACTAAATTCCCCAGTTCCCCTTTGCATCCTCCATCTCTCCCCAGCCCCCACATCATTATCCCTATTCAAAGATATGACACTACCCACTTTCCTTACCTCCATACCCCTTGCTCTGTTTATCCTACAATAAACATCTGTTAAGGCCATCATGCCACCACTCTCCTCTATTGGTTGTTTGAGAAACTCTGAGAGCTGCTTTGCAAGTTCTATGTGGTAATTTGAGCCCGAACCATGTGTTTCCCTTGTTACAGGGTTAGATATACCGAGACTCAGTAGGTACGACTTAAATTGGATAGTCTAGAAAATAAAAATATATCAAACTTCGAGTAAATAATAATTTTTCCAAGTTTATAATTTTGATTATTATGAAACTGATGATCATTTAATGATTTCTCCAGATTATCAAGTTTTCTTTGACAACAAAATTGTTGTTCGAAGTTTAAAAGTTCAAAGTTTAAAGTAATTTTATTGACAATAATACAACAAATAAAATTGAAATTTGATTTCCTCGGATACACAGAAAGCACAATCAAGAAAGACATCAAAGTCATAAAAAATTAATCAGAACAAGAGCAAACACAAAACATTTATTTTTTAACCAGAAAAGATAAATTACATCAGAGTAAACAAAGTTAAAAATTAAAAAGTAAAAATATCAATGTCCAGTTAGATTCTATTCTAAATTTACAAAATTCCAGAGAATAACAGCAAAAAAAAAAAAATAATAATAAAAACCTTAATACAACATTTTTTTTAGAAAAAGAAAAAGTTTCCTCATAACTCCACCTAAACAATTTTTTTCTATGCTATACTACATTATTTACGTTTTGAATGCTATTGGTCACGCGGTTATTTTCGTCATTGTCATATTTATTTAATTTCGTTATCCTCACATTGCAAACACCGACTGAAAAACTAAGACTATACATTTTGTAACATCTTGGAAAATCGACTGAGAATGGAACATGAAAATATGTTCCAACACAGTGACCCTTGTTACAAGTGGAATAAGAAGATGAAATTATATTTGTAAACCTAGAGTATATAAAATATAATAATAGAAATGGAAATTTATAGTAGGGTTGTTATTAATGTCTGTTTACAATTAAGCAGTTTCTTATACATGTGCTACTCATCTAATGATTACCTCATTTTCTGTGATGCTACCTTGTCGCTCCTTAATTTTGTTGGATATTGTCTTTGATAAGTTGACCATTTCCTTTGCCTGTAAAGAAAAGATGTTGAAATACTACAGAGTTTAAAAACACTGTATAAACAAATTTGAAATATATATGTACTACCATTGGGCACAAAATGTGTCAGAGGTCAAATGTGTATAGATTTAACACTGAGGGCCAAACGCGAAGTTAGATGGTAAAAATTTGGTATTTCCACTGTACTGTACGGAATGGTATAGCCTGAGAACTGCACTTTGCCCACCTGTTACAATATGCATCAATTTAAAAAATGTTCAATAACATAATTATGATATTAATATAATAAGCTAATATAATGATCTATTGCTAATCCATTCTGAGATCAGCTAATTGGATACATAAACAAAGCCGTATTGCAACAAGTGCAGCATTCTATGGCTCTATTTAATTTTCATTTTATTTCAATGTTTTACCTCAAAATCAAATCAACATCAAAATTAAATCAACATGCAAAATAAAGTAAATAAGTAGAATAAAAGTGAAATATAAAAGCGGTTTTAAAATAAAGTTAACTTATGTGTCAATAAAAATGAAAAAGTGTTAAGCAAGATAGGCAAATGAAAACTACAAATGCCTTAAAGCATGGTATCCTTAAAATTGAGTAACCAAATGTGTAGTAGATGATTAAAAGGAATATAAAGAATAAATAAGTAAAAAACAAATAAATGCATGAAAACCGGAAATAAAGAAATATAAAATAAATGCAAATTAAATAAGTAAATAAATTACTGCTAGATCAATATATTTACATCAGAACATCACAATGCTGTAGTTTTAAATTGACAATAATTTAAAGAAACAACAATCAAAATCGTAATTTACACAATAAAATTTTAGATTCTTATATTTTATTTCAATTTTTTATGGTTTTTTTAAATATTTTATTAAAATTGTGTATACTGCATTTTACTGGTGAAACTAGCTTAACAAGTTTGATTGACTGGGTAGAAAGGCTATAAACCCAGGAGATGCCTCCCTTCCCACCAAAAAGGACGAATTTATGCGCGTACCACAAAAAGCACATGGCTATGTTTGTACATTGTCGTTTTGTGAGACTTTGTTGCTAAAGTTCCCACAAAACTAGTCAACAAAACATTTGAGGGATAACACATGTGTTTGTGAGAAATGTGTACTCATACTACGACTTATAACCCAAAACCCTGTTCTGATTAATCAGTTGCAACCTCCAGAAAGGTCCATTCAACAAACTTTAAGTAAAGACCTCTAAGTTTCAGCACACACAAAGTGCTTAACCCCAGCATAGCCAAGTAAGTTAACAGGGGCGGATCTGGGTTGAAAATTACGGGGGGATCAAAATGTTTCCAAAAAGCCCCAAAAAAAGGGGGTGGGGGTTTTCCCCCCGCAAAATCTTGATTCCTAGCTGGCGGAAATGAGCTTTCCTGACTTCTGAAGCGTTCAAAATTTACCCCTCTTGAAAATGGTCAGGTAAATTTTTCTCATGCTTATTATAGTAAATAGGCCTATTAAGTGTGTACCTACTTATATATATATATAGAAAAAAAAATTGAGTATTTCATACATGTTCTTTTTTTTCTATGAATCGATGAACCCCAAAAAGAAAGGTGGGTCGGTGGTCCTCCCCACAGGGAAAATTTGGAACCCTAGAGTGCGGGAAATGAGCTTTCCTAATTTTCCTATCGTAATTTCAGCTCATAAATCCTGAAAAAAAGGTGGAGGTCTAGAAATTTTTTTTTACTTTATTTATTATTTTTATATTTTTAAATTTTTTTTTTTTTATTTTTTTTTTTTTGCTCAAGGGGGCTCAGAACCCTGCCAGATCCAGATCTGCCAATGACAGCACTGATTTAATTACCTTATCCATCAGTTTATTGAGATCTTCAAATGCTTTTGAGATGGTGCTGTCTGTTTCCTTGCGCTTTTCTTCTATCCGGCGCTCAATGCCCACAATTCCAGCTCGGATTTCCTTTGGCTGACAAAAAAATGGTTACAGCACAAATTATCTAGTAGAATGGTATGTGTACCTTTGCTTTTTGTAAATTGTTTTAAATGCTTATCCCTTAAACTAATTAGATTTTAAAAGAGAATTTAAGTAATTTTTATTTAGTAAGGTTACTAGTTAAAAACCATTTTAATATTGGATTTTTATATTAATTTTATTAAACCAAAACCTTTATCCACACAATTTTATATCATGAAATTTTTAATCCATACCTTTTATTGACTCAATTTTATAGGAATCGGTGTGTTTGTTTCTGTCATCTTGGTTTTTGTGTACAGACCTCAATGGAAATAAGTCTTTAAGGCTTTCTTGAGTTATCTTAGGTATTTCGCAATAATAGTACTGTATATTGTTCTTAAATTTTCTTGTTATTGTATTTTATGTGAGTTTCCAAATAAATTCAATCAATCAATCAAGCAATTTGTTAAATTCATCATTCATTACCAAAGGAGTCTCACATTTTATGTGTGCATATTACCAGATTGTGAGATTGTGAACTCTGACATTCACTATATGCTTGCCATAAAAAAAACCAGAGTACTGTTGCTAAATTAAACAGAATAATTAGCATAAAAATGTGCCAGTATTGTATATTTTAGTATAGAGAAGCCGTAAAACTGTTGCATATAACTTTGGAAAATTTATTATGTTGATTCCAGTGAATCACCTATCATTTTTAAAGTTTATATTGTTAAGAATATGGATTAAAAGTTTAATTTTCTTGTTTTGGTCACTATAAATGCTGGTTTCGGCATGACAAGCTCCATTTTAGATGTAATCAGGGCAGAAGAAAACATTCAACTAACTTTGACGGCCACCGTGGCAGGTTGCGCATGCTCCCATCGTTTACGGCGAAGCTCTTCACTTAAACACCTAAAAAACTAGAAATTAAAAGTACAAAAGCAAAAACAAATTATTAGTACAAAATTGAGTACTGATAATAAAAATAGCTACTGTAAGATTTGACAAAAAACTAATACCCAACAAAATTATCTTCCATTGGCACCTGGTATTGGTACCTGTTTGTATATCTGGTATTAGTATCTAGTATTAGTACCTGGTATGTGTACTTAGTATTAGTATCTGGTATTGATACCTGCTACTGTATGTGCATCTGGTATCTGTTACAGGTATCTGTTATGTGTATCTGGTAAGTGTACCTATCTGGTATTGTTACTTGTTATGTGTATCTGGCATGTCTACCTGGTATTAGTATCTGGTATTGGTACCTGATATGTGTATCTGTTATCTGTTATGTGTATCTGGTATGTGTACCTGGTATTAGTATCTGGTATTGTTACCTAGCATGTGTGCCTGGTATGCAAGGCTGGAAAAAGTGCGCTACCGTGCGCATTTTTGGGAAAAACGAAATAGAAATAAACTGGTAGACTATATAGTTTACAGATAATATTTGGTACTTGAGGCATTTTATTGAGGTAATTTTCATGGTAGGAGGCATACAACAATTTTTTCCAGGCCTGCAGAAATTAATAGCTTATGAAAAAATGTTGCAATAAAGTTGGATTAAATACAATCCATGACTAGGAATACACTACAGAGCGTAGAAGAAGTAAATTTACGACCCTGCAGTATACATGAAGAAGAAGAAAGTGCCATGCACTAAGGACATAGATTTGAAATGTATCTTTACAAATATTCTGTTTACCTCAGTCTCTCCAGCTTCCTTAAAACCAAATCTTATATTAGAATGCGCACTGCTCATCGAGGGGCCAACAGGCTTGCCCGGCTGGGGTGGCAACAAGTGTAAAACAATCTTTTGACTGAAAACCAAAAAGAGACAAGTAATCGATACATTACTTTACAATCTTGATGTGTAAGGATGCCAAAGGAGCAAGGGTGCCCCCTGTATTTAGTGCCACAACTGCAAAAAATATGTTCTGAAATGTTGTGGACCCTTCAATTTGCATTATCCCTATTTTAAAAATTTCGGAAGTTTGAGTTAGGGGGGTAGGGGGGAGTGTGGTTGATGTTTAAAGTAAAGGGTCGTAGGTCACAAAATGAAGTAATGGGACTTGATGATTAAAGTGAAGAGTTGTAGGTCGCAAAATGAGGTGATTTTTGTACTTCTGACATTTACAATGGAGGGGGGATTGAGCAACTGGGGAAGCACAAGCTTTTATTTTTAGGGGGGGGAAGGGTCCGCTAGATACGCCACTGGTAGCCACATATGCAAGCATTGTTGATTTATGTGTCCCTATGTGTATCCTTATTAGGGCAATCTACTTCAGCTAGTTTGCTGTCCCTGATTAACCTGAATATACTATATTTACTGACAAAAGGTTGTGAGACAATTTAATATCTTGAGGGTCATTCTGGCTCAAATCAACCACCATATGCCCATGTGACCACCATTGAATTTTCCTGAAAAGAAATTCTAAAAATACCTTGATATGCCATAAGAAAGAATCCAAAATTAACGCTGCAATTTCCAAGCGGTTTTTAATTTATGACCTTTCAAAATCTAGGTACCACGCCCTCTTTTTTATTCCGGTAACAGCTCTTTTAACATTGTACGGTTTTTACGAAGCTATATCTCCAGAAATAACGAAGATTATTTTTTTTATGAAAAAGGGGGCGTGATACGTAAATTTCAAAAGGTTGTAACTTAAAAACCGCTTGAAAATTGGAGCTGAAATTTTGGATTCTTTCTTTTGACATATCAGGGTATTTTTAGAATTTTTTTAAAGAAAAATTCAAGAGGGGGTCACATGGGAACTTAAAAATTTCTGGATGATTTGAGCCAGAATGACCCTTGATTCTGTTTGGTTGTTGTAACTGTAAATTTCAAAGGTGGTCAACAAACCATTTTACATTCAATACGGCAACGTCTTCCAATGGCGTATCCAAGATTTTGAAACAGTGGGTGTTTAATAGTATTACATAGATCTACAGTCATGAACTTTATGACAGATGCAAAACTAGTTATGGAGCATAAGGATAGCTACAACATAAATTGTTATTACTATTATTTTTCCATGTTTGAACAAAACGGAGGGGATGGGGGCGCTCAGGCACTGTGAGAACCCTCTGCTTACCCCACATATCTTTTCAAATGTGGTTGTTGGACAAGGGTATAAAAAATCCCTCGTCTGATTTTGGAGTTGATGACAGTAAGATAATTTAAACTTACCTTCTCCCCCTACCTTCAGAAACTTCTTCAGCAAACAAAACCAGTGACAACGGAAGTGCTATTATACAGGACTAGAATAAGGTAAAAAAAAAAAAAATTAGTTTAGTAAAGACAAGTTTCAAAGTCTGTGCAGTCTTTTACATTCTTTAACCTGAAAATATTCAACTTTAATTTTTAACTTAACTTTTAATGTTTATTTTTTATCATTTAATCATTTGAAAATAGTGACATGATAAACTGATACTAATTGAGGAGAAAAAGTAATAAATAGGCCAAAGTTTAAAAGAGCTCTACTTAAGTGAAAAATAAATTGAAAAATTCAAACTTTGTCTAATAAAATGCATGTGCAAGCATGGTTTGAAGTCAACATACAGTAAGTGGCTCCCTTTAATTAAAGAATACTTTGGAACTGGGGTTTTCACTGGGTTTAGCAGATTTCGTCTATAATTAGAAAAAATATTATCAAAAAAATATAAGATAGGCATGTATATGGGGGCTGTAGAAATGTGGTCTATAATTGGAGGTGGTCTCTAAATTCAAACTTTGTCAAATAAAATGCATACAAGCATGATTTATAGTCAACTAATGTCTCCTATCTTCATTTGAAAAAATACTTTTGGGATTGTTGTTTTTAGTAACTTTGCTCTTTAGTTGGTACTGGTACTGGTATTTATAATGTGCCTCTTCCTTATTTTTTTCCTGGGTCATTGAATCCACATGCTAAGTGTTGCTGCTGGTAATCAGCGCAGGAGCAGACAACCCCACCAGGTACCAATTTATACTCCTGGGTAGAGAGAGAAACAATGCAGATAAAGTAAAGAGTCTTGCTCAAAGACACAAGCGAAATGCACAGCGAGGGATTGAAACCCCGACGTCGAGATTGGGAAACCAAACCGTTCCCGCTGCGCCAAACTCCTTCCGGTTATTTTATTATGAACTTTAGTTTATATGATTTGAAAATACCTCACCTGCCTTTGTGGATCTCTCCAGAAAATGTGATGACTGGATAGGACCAGCATGCCTCTTTCAAATGGTGTCTGTAAAATAGCAAACAATTGAAAATTGTCACACCGTAAGGTATTCTACATTATTCCTTTATTTCCAGTTTTTTCCACCATTTTAACAAACTTAAAAATTTGTTAGTAAACTGAAGTAATTTTACATTATCTTCAATTATTTATATTTTTTTTTATAAATGATCATTTTTAAACAGTAGACATCTTTTACGTATCGTTTTAAATGGTTAATAATAATAATAATGAGTAACATGATTATATATAGCCTTTCCAAATTAAAAAATTTCAAAATCAAGTTAAAAATTGACAAATATGTTACAATTAAAAGAGTAATACTTTTGGTTCAACTTTAGAATATTTGAATCAATAGTTTTATAAATTTTATTCTACTTATCTTTTTAAGTAATCAATTTCAAAATATCTGCATGACTTTTTTTAAACATTTTTATGTATAGTATTTTAATTGCTATTGCTTTGTGTCTTTGTATTTCCAGAGGAAAACAAAAAATCTCATCCTAAGTATCTCACTTATTAATTAGGCCAGCTACTTTTGGCCAAGGTCTATGCTTTTTCCTACCCCCAGTAACATCATCTACGCGTAACCATCACTATAGTGTTAAGTTCAATGTGTTCAATTCAGTGTGTAACTATAGGCCTTGTACTAGGCCTCTCACAATAAATACCTCCCTGTAACCATCACTGTTTGACGTTTTTGAAGTACCAGGTCAAAGCATGTATGTGATGTGCACAGACTTTCCTTGCATTTACTGTACAAAGTGTTTATTCGAGTGCCGTGGGATTTTGGTCATTTTTCCCCTCCGTATCAGTTTTCTCACAGTATTCTTGACTCAGAGACTAGCCTTGGGGGAAGGGCGCTGCTGAGTCCTGGAGGCTCAAAGGTGCACTACGGTCCGGCCCGCGGTCTAGTACGGATGCCAATACTGCCCTGCTCTGAGAAAAGGCATTAAGTACATTTTTTTCAAAATTGAGATTTTTAGCTTATGTGACTCCTGAATGTCTAATCTATCACCCTATTTTATCTAATTTCCAAAAATATGTCTTGAAATATGAAATTTTATTTTAAAATTGGGCATTATCTGCAAATTTCACTATAAATACTCTGAGGAAAGGCATTATGTGCGCGAAGCCTTACATACATGCATTGAATGCTTGACTTCACGCAAGACAGATAGTAAGTAACCAATCAGATCCTAGTATAACGAATATCTAATTAATTAGATTTGAATAATTAACAGATAATGCCTAGTTAATAGTAACTACTTTATTTCAAAGAATACTCGTAGAAAGTGCATTATCTGCTATATATTTTACGGCGTTTATTTATAATTCTGTGATTAATGCGATACTTTTGCCGAAATGATGCCAGTTACAGCACAAGACCTTTTTAGAAGTCTTTTGGAAGAGTAAGTACAATATTGTATTTTATTATGTTTCATACCTATTAAGTAGTAAATTTAGATTATTATTATTATTATTTAGTAGTATTATTTTTTGTTTTATCGACATTGTATGTTTTGTATTGTATTTATTATTAGTATTATTATTATTATTATTTATTATTATTATTATTGTTATTATCATCATTGTTATTACTCTTTAAGGCAACCAAGTGGTAAACCATGATGGACAGACACAATTTTCGCCATCGAGATCGTGCTCCACTTCGAGGAAGGGACATTGAGTAATGCAATTTTGAAATAAAAAGAGTAAATAACTATAAAAAAAATAAATAAATAAAAATGTAAAAGTCGGAGCATTGTAAATAAAACTTTTAAAATATTTTGTACTCATTTGTATAACCTATGTTGTATTGTATCATTATCATTGTAAAAATAATAGTTTACAATGCATATTATAACTTAATAAATATAAATTTATTAATTTTATATTTAAAATTAGCACACCATTTTTATACATATTTTTCTACAAGTTATTGTTAATTAACAAGTTATTATCAATGATGATGTGGATGATGATGATGTGGATGATAATGATTAAGAGGAGGAAGAGATTTAAAAATATGACATTCTAGTTACTGAAAATTTAAATAAAATAAGTTTAAAATATTTTCAATCTATCTTACCTCACCCCCCTCCCCCGACAACACCGGCTCCTTTCCCCTCCCCTAACTGCATTTTCCTCATTTACACAATTATTAAATTTATCATTTTATAATGTCAGAGTATACTAGCCCTCAATTTTTACACTAACCTTTGGATTTCATACCTATACTTCGGTTTTTAAAAATTAAATAGAAGATTTTGCAGTTTCAAGTATTTTGATATTTTTAAATACTAGTTTTCACTTTTTTGGAGCAAGATTTTTTTATAAAATATATGTTATAAATCTGTAGCTTAAATTTCATATACATACACTTTAATAAACTAATAATTAATGCATGTATATAAACAGTTTTGCAGATAATGCCCAATTTCAAAAGTATTTATCTACATTCATAGTTATAAATACTCTGAAAAAAGGCATTATCTCCATTTTGGCCCCCTCAATAATAAAATTAATCAATGAAAAGTATGTGGCAAATTTTTAAATACTATATCTAAGAAAACCATAGGTGAAAAAATTTGAAATCATTTATACTTTTCTTGGGAAAAACTCAAACGCGTTTTGCTAATTTACTCAAAACTAGGATTTTGTTACTTAATGCCTTTTCTCAGAGCAGGGCAGAATACGGTCCCTCCTGGCCTGTCACATTCTGATGGGGTCACTCACGTTTCTCGTGTTCGAATCAAGATCTGACACATTTTTCACATTAGCCTATCAAAGCTTGCTACGGACGCCAGGCAGCTTTGGTTTGTACCCACTTTATAAAAATAAGGCCTCCCATGCAATAGCAATCACGTATATATTTGTGGCTTTTTTCCTATTTATGCTATTATGCTTCCCGTCCCACAATGGACCACCTCCAAGTTTTGTTACGGCCTATTATTTAAGTAATGTCACTTTTTGTTGAGTTCACCCCATTTTACTATGGCGCCTAACAGATTTCTTAAATCCGCACCGTGACTGCCATGGCTAATTTTTTGGCAGTTTAAAAAACTGCACCAGCATCTACAGCAATCATGGTCTGTCAAGTTTATCCATCTCATTTTGTTCACGGTGGCCTGAAACGTGGCTGCCGTAGCCACCGGGAATATAGTGTAAACTTAGCATAAAACTCGAACTTGCCTACAGTATCTTCATTCAAGTTAGGGTTGGAGTGCGCCCTCACTGCCTTCTTCAGTTAGGCCTAGCCTAGGGGCCAAACAAACCGCGACCGAAATGAAGCGCGACCGAAACGAAGCGCGACCGAAATGATCTGTATTCCTAGCATAGGCCTAGGCTAGGCCTTCCGTCTTCAGCGTGTGTTTTGATACCAAATTCTCTATAAGGCGTATGATAGGCCTAAAAAAGACAATTTTAAATGATAGGGCCCAGGCCCTAGGATGGATAGGCCTGACCATGACGCTAGACTAGGCCTAGACCCTAGGCCTGCCTGGACCTAGGCGTCGGCCTAGCCAGTCAGTAACTAGCTGACGGCCTCGAATCCCACCAAAAAGGCTAGCCCTAGCCGCCTAGATAGGCTAGAGGTTGTACTGTGCTAGGTCGATAGTGGGTTTACACACCTTTTCTGACCCATCATAAATCTTCACTCCTGATTGCTGGGTCACAGTAACTTCTCCTGGTATCAGGGTACCCTTAGACCATTCGAATCGATCCATTTTGGCATTAGGCCTAGCCAGAAATATACTATTATTATGCGATCCAAAATACAAGTTTGTATTATAATGTTTTGATAATCAAGAGTTCCTAGTGAAGTGCGCCCTCACCAATCGCATTTTAGTTCACACTGTTCATCACCACCCGCCCGTGTCAACATTACTCATCATTATTATCATCATCAACCATTATCGCACCTTCAACACCATCAAAACTACTATAATCATCATAAATCATTGTCATCATCATCATGATTATCATCAACAAACATCGCCATTTGCTCATATATTTTCTGACTGAACATCGTTTTCCGGGCGCAGCTGTGGTTGTTCCCGTAAAAACTACCCTTTCACCAAAAATAAATAAATAAATAAATAAAAATAAAAATATTTAAAAAAATAAATAAATAAGTAGGTAAGTAAGTAAGCAAGAAAGCAAGCCGAGCAAGCAAGTAAGTAAGTAAGTAAGTAAGTAAGTACGGTAAGTAAGTAAGTAAGTAAGTAAATGAATAAAAAATAAATAAATAAATAAATATATTTATAACAAACAAACACTTAGAATGCATAAACATGATGTTAATAAAAAAAATGCAATTCAGCGATATTAGCATCTAATGAAAACTTGATAAATTAATGCCTTTCAAAATTAATGTGATTCAAATAGTAGGCCAATCTTTCATACTCAGCGTATCCCGTATTTACAATCATAATTTCCAAAAGCTAATGTATAGGCCCCCTAGCACTGAATTTATCCTTTGTATTCATAACATTTATTTTATTCATTTCACATATTTTTTTAAAATTTCAAAGTATCCGGCAACTCGTTTAAATATAGGCGTTGTACTTTGTTACTTCAATTTTATTTTATTATTAATCATGTGTTTTTGTTTATTGACTGCTTGTGCTATACGGTACTATACATGGAGGAACAGCGGCATCATCATGACAATGATATGAAATCCAGAACATTACAATTTTCTACCATTTTTGAAATACAGTACATTATTATCTTCGCCCCTTCTCACCTTGATTTTAAATAGGCCTATCTCATTCGTTTTTCATACATTGATTAAAATAGCTTTATAATCAAACAAGATTTTGTGGATTTAATAAACAGTTAGGCCCCATAAAAAAAATTATTAGTTTATCATCCTATCAAGACCAAAAAACTGATGAGGGAGGGAGGTTTTTTTTTTTTTTTTTTT